TGTCAAGAGAATTTTGGTAATTTATTATTGTAATAAATAAATTTACTATGTCTGCTATTGACTAAGAATGCCCCATTCTTAAAGCAATTTGTCACTTGGATATGTCAGCTTATGAAATATAATTTATAATTTCCTAGTTGTAATACTATATGCTGTCAATTAATAATGACTTATTCTGGCAAACTTTTGTTGTATTTCCACAAGTAATCCCAAATGTATCTAAAAATGTATTTCTCATCTTTTCTATGGTAACTATTTAGTGATATAAAGGACTAAGTACACAAACTATTTTGGTAATAATTTCTTCCTAGCAAGAGTTATACAGTGTTTGCAAAATGGTTAAGATTTTAAGAAAAAATCATGGGGTTGTCCCAAATAGACTCACATTTTAGGAAGCAATTAATATATGCTACCTTTCTTTGAATAAGCTTAATGAATTAGTTGGGAAATTGAGACACAGAAACACAAGTTCAGAAAAATTATTATAAGCCATCAATAATACTTAAAATTTGACTGAGGTTATGCAAAATTCTGAAAAAAACTTAATCTCTAAAAATACCAATGATCTCCAATAATAATTATAAAATTTACTTAATGAATGCCTCTAAAACATTTTGGAAAACTGAGTATCAAAATTTTGATTACAATACTAATTAGAAAAATATCTGTGCTGAGATCCATGGCACACACATGTAATCCCAGCACTTGGGAAGCTGAAGCAGTTGGATTGGTATAAGTTTCATGTCAGTATGGCCTACACAGTAATTTCCATGAGGACTTGAATTTCAGTTAGTCCTTGTTTTAAACAATAACAAAAGTCCGTTCAAGATTATAGCAATTGACAACATTTGAATATTAATGAAAGGTTACATTAATAATAATGTGTTGAATTTGTTTCCTAATTTTTATAATTGTACTGTGGCTGTGCAATGAAATGTTTTTTTGTATTTATTTTTTTGAAACAAGGGCTTGCCACAGAACAAGACTGGTCTTGAACATGTGGTCCTCCTGCCTTACAAGGTTGCAGTAGCACAGATGGCTAGAATATTCTTGATCTTCAGAAATACATATTAACTATTAATGAATGGTTAAGGACAAAAAGCCAGGCATTGATATATGATGGTTGTTACTGTCTCCCAAATGAAAGTGAAAAGTGAAAGTGAAACGTTTTAACTTCACATGTGCAGAAACTACATGTTCTTTTCTCTTTCCTTCAGTTTTGTTTCAAGTAATACAGTTACAAAAATCTAATTTAAAGATTATAAACTTTATTCAAATCTATTTGTATTTTTCATGCTTTCCTGAGATAAATACTGCCTCAGTGTTTGGTATTTGCTTGAAATGTTCATTCATCTTACATATGCATCTGTACCTATAAAGATAAAGACTATGTAGTTACATTTATATATTGCTACATTTTGTAATACTTTATACCCTCTATATCATTTCACAGTGTCCTTCATACTTTCTAGATTTATACATTTATCCATTATATTAAAATAAAGGCATTAAATGATAAAGTTAGCAAGGGTTTACGAGATAGCTCAATGTGTTCCAGTGTGTTAAAAGCGCTTTCTGTATAAACTTAATGATTTGAGTTTGATCCTCAGATCACAAGGTGGACAGAAAGAAAAGACTCCCAAAGTTGTCCTCTAATTTCCACACACACACACACACACACACACACACACACACACACACACACACACACACCCCAAAGGCTCACACAATAATAAAAATATTTTTACTTAATAAAAATCCTTTCAGTATAGTACTTAACAGTAACTATAAAATGTACTGAAATGATTAACTTATTACACACCAAAAATGAACAAAACCAAATTTAAGTATATCCTAAAAGGAGCTCATTCTTTGGTTAACAATAAATGTCTCAGATAATCTTTCTTAATAAATGCACTAATAAATTAATCTGTTTATTAATTTAGGGAGTGCTTGAATTTTGTAAAGGAACTTAAGTTTGTCAGTTTTTAACAGCTTTAGTAATTTTTACACACTTTTGCCTGATATGACACTCTCCAAATTTGTAAAAGCAAGATAGCTATGATAGAAGAATAAATTCAATACTTAACCCATTGTAGAAATTATTTTCATGTGTGGATCCACAGGGTCTGGCTGTCTTCTGAATGGGTGGCTCCTCTTCACAGAATAATTTTGAAGCAGAAGAATCAAGCCCACTCTCAAACTTTTATACCACTCTGGACACAAATCATTCCACATAATCACTGACACCATGCCTGAACTGTCAGCAACTTCCAAATAGGTCTAGAAAAAGAGTGAAAGCATATACACATTTACTATTTTTATCTATATGGGTGACACACAAGGTAGTATCTGTGAAAATTTATACTGACAGAAAAATAACACTTAAGATTTATTTTTACTCATAATGACTCTGCTGTTAATTCTGCTAAGATTGCCAAGTGAAGAGAAATGGCTAAAGATACTGGAAGTCAGCCATTTAGTACTGACTTACTGTGTGATGATAAACTTCAAATGCAGAGAGAAAATCTTAGTTATGTTTACTTTTCCCATAATGCTTAACCCATTACCATACACAGAGTAACCACACAATACAGTTATCAAGAGAATTAGATATGTCTCAAATTGTGAAGACATTTATAGCCTTCTTCATCATTTCCATAGCTGAAGGACCTTGGTATTTATTTAATTATCCTATAGCAATTTAAATAGGCATTCAGTAGACATAATCCCATCAATGCTCTGATGACATTAATTTACTTATACTGGTATCTTAGAATTCATTATAAATGGCATGAGAATTATTTCTGTTATACTATTTGACAGAAGTCAATACTGATGCAAACATCATTATTATTTAATCTGGCTATGGTTGAATAAATATTTTGCAACATAAAGTATGTTCTTCATTTAAAAAATGAAGATGGACGACATTGGTTACATCTAAAGAACAGCATCCAAAGTTTTCTCTAGCTCAAATTGCAATTTATTTTCAAATGATACATTCTAAGATCTCATTTCTTAACAATGACAATAAACTTTAGCAATTCATTCCTTCAATCAATAAACATTCATCAAGTCTCTATTATCCTTCAGATATTATGTTAGGCTGAAGAGCTGAATCAGACACTATCCCTAATAACAGCTAAAATGGAGGACTTGGTATGTGCCTAAAACAGTTAAATCATTTACCCGTATTAAGAAATTGTATCTTCATATCAGCTTTGTGAGATATTTATATTCAGAACCTCCATTTTGTTGATTAGAAAACTGAGGCTTTAAGAAGACAATTAATGCCATAAAAGCCTGATACAGCTGAGACTAGAAACCAATTTATGTGAATATGAAACTATATGATATATAATTACTTGCATTATAACACATATACATATTGTGAATGCATGATAGATAAGTGTATATGGGATTTAAATATAAAATTTTATGTATGACATACACAACCAAGAGAGGAGATAATACTCACTATTTTAACAGTAGATATTCTCAGTGGTAAAATCTTGGATAATATTATTCTCTTAATAAATCTTTCTATATTTTCTCTTAATTCCCTTCAATAAGTATACACAACTTTCACAAACCACAGTTAATAAAACACCTAAACTAGCTCTTGATACATGAGGAACTACGATGGACTATTAGGTTTTCTAAAAATTGATATATTCTATATGAATACAGAAAGCAGTATATGGCACAGAGTCGAGTCAGTAGAAAAATATAGGAGTGGACTGACAATTAGAAAGTTCCTAGTAAATTATGAGCTGAAGAAAAGAAAAGGCCAAGTAATTGTATTGAGAAGCAAACGGAAGGCAAGAAGAGAAAACATCTTCAAGAAGCTCACCTGAAGAGGACAGGGAGAAATGGCCCAGGGATATACTTTTTTCTTTTACTAAATTGTTTTCCTTTAAATGAATTCGACTAGAGACTAGATCCTACTTACATTCTAGTGCAGAAAGCACAGAGAAGAAAAGATTAAAGAAAAGGAAAAAAGTGTGAAATTGACCAGATAGATCCAAATCTAAAGAGCTAACTACCTCTGTTTCATACTCAAAAGATTTTTTTTTCCTTTGAAATATTTTGAGGGGTTAGGAACTGAAATGAACCCATTGCTTTGCATATTCTTGGCAAGTGCTCTAGTACTGAGCTAAATGCCAAAAACACCAAAGAATTTTTAATAGAAAAATTACAGAAAAATATTTTGGCTTTCTACCCTCTGGTTCCTAAAAGAATTTCAATGAAATGATTCCTAACAATTTCTGCTATAGTCATAGATCAGTGCCTAGCCCATTTGACATCAGAGAAGCATCCCCCAGCAACTGATGGGAGCAGATGCAGAGACCCATAACCAAACAATAGACAGGGCCAGGGGGACTCCCACAGAAGGTGTAGGAGCCACAGGGGTCCAGGACACCATGAGAACATGCCCCACAGAATCAACTAAAGAGGGCTCATGGGGGCTCACAGAGACTGAAGCAGTAATCAAGAGCCTTCATGTCTCTGAGCTAGGTCCTCTGCATATGTGTTATGGTTATGTAGCCGGATGTTCTTGTGGGACCCCTAACAGTGGAATTGGGGTGGCCTGTGACTCTTTTGTCTGATCTTGGGACCCTTTACTTGCTACTGGGTTGCTTCATCCAGCCTTGATATGTGGATTTATGCCTAGTCGTATTGTAACTTGCTAGGCTATGTTTCAGCTGATATCTCTGGGAGGCCTGCTCTTTTTTGGGATGGGAAACAGAGGAGGAGTGGATCTGGGGGAGAGAGGAAGTTGAGGGTGGCTGAGAATAGTGGAGTAAGGGGAAACTGTGGTCAGGATGTAATGTATGAGAGGAAAAACGAAAAAAGCTTAGAAGTAAAAAGTCTGCATGCAGTTAAATTAAACTGAACTCGTGGAATGTTTATTTAAACAAATAAATTTTTCCAATAGAGACTTAGATGTTCATGTTATCTATAAATTAAATTAGCATGCATTATTTAAGCACTACTTGTACCTGATATGGCTCAATCGTCTTTTTATGAGGTTTCCCATAGTATCTCAATTTTGATTTATGCAGAATCCTCACAAGCAAGGCAGGAAAATTCTTTCTGCTATTCCAGGTCATCTCAAGATGAGAGAGTGTTATTATTTTGATGCCTAGAATATAAAAAGATAAAATTGTATTTATTGTGTCAACTTAGTTTTAAAGATCCATTTTAATGTTAAAAATGGATTCCGGGCGTTGGTGGTGCATGCCTTTAATCCCAGCACTCGGGAGGCAGAGGCAGGCAGATCTCTGTGAGTTCGAGGCCAGCCTGGTCTCCAGAGCGAGTGCCAGGATAGGCTCCAAAGCTACACAGAGAAACCCTGTCTCGAAAAAAAAAAAACAACAAAAACAAAAAATGTTAAAAATGGTAGCAAGACCATATCTAATGCACTTTTTTCTTGCAAGCTATGTGCTTTGAAAATTTTTAAATTAGAGCCTGTCTACGTAGTTCTCTCATATAAATTACATACAAAGAACAACAAAAATATTATAGGAGTTACCATATGGAATTAGATAAACACTTACATAAAGTAAAACAGAGTTTCCTTTCATTTGCCTTCTACCTACTAAACAATTTCATTACATCATGCAAATCTTGGATCTAAATTCATCTGTCGATATTTTTCTCCAATCAATTTTCCCTTTAATCAATATACTTTCTTATCTTTCAAAAACTAAAAGTTGAGGCACTGGGGATGTGATGGTTCCATTAGTGAAATGCAAGGACCTCAGCTCAATCACTAAAACCCATGTAAAAATGCCAGGCATACATTTGTAATCCCAGCACAGGGAAGATGGAGGAAGGTTTCCCAAGGCTCACTGGCCAGCCAGTCTAGCCAAATTAGTGAGCTGAAAGCCAGCAAGAGGCACTCATTGTCCATGTGAATGCATGGGCACACACACACACACACACACATACATACACACCAACATGCACACATACATGTATTTTTTATTTACTCAGTCTGGGCTGAACTGGAACTCATGATACTCCTGCCTCATCAAAAAAAGTTCTGAGGATGCACGCATGCACCACTCACAGCAGATTACAGAATTGTTTCTGACACTTTTCTGTATTGTCCTCACTTCTGCTTCAAGTGTACAAGTTCCACATTCTCTGTTTTCTCACTTGCTCCTCTGTTTCGGTAGTATCTTCCTCTTAGATATGTAAGTGACTTCCTTCCTTCCCTCCCCAAATTTTGCTCAAGGGGCACTTTCTCAGTGATGTCCCTAACTACCTCACTGAAACTATGTATTTCCCACCCACTCTGATTCCCCATATAGTACTTATTATTTGCACATACACCATATAATTTATTTTGAAACATTTTAATCTCCAGGTCTGAAGGAGAACAAAAAATTGTTTAAAGGCTGTTCACCATCTTTAAAGATTAAATTGTAAACCAGATTTCAGTATTCTAACATTAAAGGGCATTCCATCTCCAATTCTCTCTACATTTTCTTTTCATAGCACACAATATCAATTTTAAAATCTAAATTTATATCACAACCTCTATGTATTATACATATATAATATATATGTTGAAATATACACCATTTCCATTTATAGTATGTATTTGCTAGTCATTATTTTAGCAAGAAAGTAATACTTATACTTTATTTTAATCATTTTAAATGTTGTTTAATTATTCCTATAACTTACAAAAACCAAATTTGTAATGCATTAAAAGCACTACAGATAGATTTATTTGCAGATTCTCAAAATATATTACTAGCACAGACTAAGAGGCCCTAATAGCTGATATGATGTAATTAAGCAATTTCCTTTTCAATATAGTCAAATCACAGAAAAGCTTTGAATTATCTACACTGAACATGGAGTACTCTTGAGTAAGATGGATGCAGCTCCTTTATTTATAGGCTGAAATAAATTCAAAAGATACATGCTTTTCAGTTAGCTGTGTTTAGACATCACTTGGCCATCTGACAGCTTTCCAAGAGTGTGTTTTTAACTAAAAAAAACTTTATAAAATATAGAAATTCTCAAACCTAAATTGCAGATAATGAGTTACCCTGTAAGTTCATTGTAATACATATGCTTCATTATCAAAAAAGAATGAAAAGAACTTGGATACTCAATGCAAAATTTAGAGAATAAACAATGGAATGGTTATTCTCAAAATTTTAAATCTTAAGACCTTTTAACATTCTTAAAAAGTAGTAAATATCTTTTATTGTGGGGGAGGTTATTCTAGACAAGGTATTTCTATGTATCACTGGCTGCCCTGGAACTCACTATGTAGACCAGGCTGGCCTCAAACTCAAGAGATCCATTTGCCTGTGTCTCCTGAAGGCTCAGAAAAAATGTATGAACCACCATGCCTGGCCCAAAAGATATTAAATACCTAGAAGAGCTTTTGTTTATGCAGTTATACTGATAAGTTGATATTTACATTATACACTTAGAAATGAAGAAACCATCATTTCATTTAATAGTAAATCTAAATATATTACCACAAACAACATTCCTTTGAAAATGACTTTTTCAAATAAAATCAGGACTGGGGAATATAGCTTAGTTTGCAGAGCATTGGTCTACTATGCATGAAGCTGTGAATTCAATTTTCACTATTGACAAAAAGAAAAAAA